ATTTTCTTTCAAAAGTACATATAAGGTGTTTAATTTATAACACTTAAAATTTATAATTGCTACTTCATAAAACTGGACAAACTTCTCGGAAAGTATTGGAGTGCTACTGTGTCTAATTAGTTACCATTTATTAATAAAAGTATTTGTTAAGAATTTTGGATTACAAGGATCTTGTGAGTTCATCTACACAGCCCATCAGATACACAACTATTATTAATAGGAAAAATCAATCAAACCATAATTGTTCAGAGAGCAAGGATATAGATAGTTTTAGGAGAGGATGCGTCAGAATAATATCCTGCCAACCAAGATCTAAAATTATTTTATAAGGTGTTTCTTTCAGATGAATAATATACCTTAACATACTATTTGCTATAATATGATTATAGCAAAAAGGATATTAATAAAGTATATAAACAGTTCTATATTGGAAGAAGTACAGTTAAAAAAAAATAAATATGTGTGCTAACAACTTAGTTGAAATAAGTTTAAGTAACTTATACATTGAGATGTATGGCAAAATTGTTGTAGAAATAGATAAGAAACATTGATTGACTAGGAAGTCAACCTTTGCTTTATATAATGGGAAAGCACATATTTATTACATACTGCTTAAAATGGATAAGAATAATAGCTGGTTCATTATATAAAAATATGGGCATCGATGCATGTTTCCAGCTGATTTAATTATCTCGTTTAAAGCATAATTTCAAAGACAATCAGAAAAATATCGCTAGTCATGTTAACCCATTTAAGAAGTGCACTTCATCTGCCTATGAGGCAGGAGGCATTAAAGGTAACCTATACTTGAACAGTTTTTGGATATTTAGGATTAATGCGATCTTTGATCAAATCAATCTAAACAATCCAAATATAAGTCATCAGCATCTTAATATTATTTAATAAAATGGTTTTAGCAAAGTGCTTCATCGTATACAATGAAATGCACTATAAATGTACAGTAAAGTATCATTTATAAGTATTGCAGAAGCTAAGCAGGCTTCATGATTAATATTAATCTTTCTTTTTAAATGCCTGAAAAACACTATTATTTTATCATAACTTAAATCAGATTTAAGGATTTCATATTGAAAGTTAATTTCAAATATATATCATTCTAATTCCATCAATTCGAATCGTTCAAACAAAACCTTAGAAATTGAAAGTTCTATTTAAGACTTCTTTTTAATTCCCATTTATCCATACATAATGATTAAGGTCACTATCATCCATCTATATATGATATACTGGTTCTCCTGTTATTATCAGGTCCTTACATTTTCTATGGGACAAATTTTGATTTCTTTCATTAATTCCTCCAATAATATTCTCATTAGTTGTCTTTCTAGCCAACATGATGTCACCCTTTGAAAAATTTCTTTAAAATTTTAAATTCTGTCTTCCCCTCATATCGCCCTAAGCACAACAATATTACCTCATTCTTTCACCAGTCTTAACCTCATATATAGTTCACATGATCTCTTATTCTCTTATCTCTGGAAAGGTTTTTCCTGAGTTTCTTGAACCATATCTTTTGCCCATGATATGTAATTTTTTTAAATAAAAGTTGATTGACAATTTCTGGATGGAAAATTTTATATGAAGCCAGACTAAATGATTGAAAATAATAATTTAAATTATTGAATGAAAAGTAGTATTAAGAAAAGGAGAAAAATTTAGAAACTACCGCTGCGGAAATAATTCATTACATCGCAATAATTCCTGCATTTATTTTGAGTAATTGTTTCGATCTCTTTGTAAATTTAATAAAAGAACTCAAAAAATTAGAAGATTTAACATCAGTTGTTTCATTTATCCTAAAATTATACTACTTTTCATCAAAAATGAAGGATGATTAAAATCATCAAAGAAGGGTAGCAGCACAATTAAAATATCAATAATTATGATAAACAGAATTCAATTTCTCTGAACTAGCATATCAAATCTCTAGATAATCAATTTTACTTGTGGATTATTGTATAATTTGTAGTGTAATTAAATGATACTTTATTAATTACAAATATATATATAATTAAAAGCATAGAAATAAAATAACAAAATTAACTTGACTCTTAAGTAATTATAATTGACAAGCAAATAACTCAATTTGCATAAGCTAAGAGTAAGAGAACTCAATTATCATAATGTCCACATTTGGTGTAACTGTTTATACATGTGAAATATTTCTAGCAATTTATATCCACTATCACAAATTTTATATATATCAATGTTGCACATATTTCTATTTTTGATTCACATATAAATCAATTTTGGTATTTTATTTTTTAAATTTGATATTTTGTAAGAATTAAAACAATCGTCGTTATAAATGTATTTATGTAAAATAGTTAGTATATTTCATTGAAACAAATACAACTGAAACTATATGTTTTAGATTTTTGGCTTAACTATCAAATCACTTCTTTTATAAGTTTTCCCTTTCAAAATTCTATAAAAGCACTCAATAAACTTAGATTAAGTTGTCATAGAAGCTATAATCAACCAAATAAATGAAAGTACTTCTTTTGTGTTGAATTTCAGAAATTTTATAATTATTTCGTTAACATCATAACATTAAATTCAACATTATGATAATATCAGGTATGCCAATAAATGTTTGAGTTTATTCTTTCAATGATTTATGAAGAATTTCGAATTGATAAAAAAGCCATCATCTTTAAATTTAGAACCACTCCTAAATTTTTGTGAGCAGATGAATCTTAGATGCATATTTAGCAATATGTACCTCTCTTTAGCGAGAAAAATTCATTAAAATATCCTTTGTACCTAGAATTCGCTCAAAGTATTCTTTGTGCTGTCAATCATTAACACAGTTCGCATATTTATTGTATCTGTTAAAAATGCAATAGAAAGGAAGCACTGTAACAAAATAGAAAATTTGCATTTCGTAATTGCCGAAAAAAATTTATCATTTTACAAGCACTCTCATATAAATAATTCTTTGGAAAGAGCAAACAAGGATAATACTCTAATAAATTGACATCACAATTAGAAAACTTTATTTCAAAGTTTGACCTCAATCAGGAGCATCACAATTCTGCTTGAGGCAATAAATTTTATGACCTTATCTCAATTAAATAGGATATAAGATATTAGCCATAACAATAATCTATTACTATACATTTTTCTATACCATAATGTGAAGAATCTTAATACTTTAATAAATTAGTTCACATAAACAGGAAGTATGTCTGAGAATAATGTTGAAAATTTGAGCTCTAATAAAATATTTATTCCTTTATGAAATTACTTTATTCCTCTATAGTCAAAAAATTTTTAAGGCATTAATAAATTCAAAAAGTTAAAAACCACCTTCTAGTAATACAAGGTACTACTTATATTTTCTAAAGGTTTTTTATATGACATTTAGTGATCTATTTAATTTGAATAATCAAACTACTTGGTTGAAGTTTTCAGTTTCATCCTAGTCTTCTAAGTTCAGTTCTAATTTTTTTGATACTTAATTACAATACCTGATTCCTTTTAATTATATTGTTTCGGAATTTTTAGCGTCGATACATAATTTAGATTGGGGAGATAAACTAAATCCAAATTATATGTAGTAGAATGCATTTTTCAGATTTACCTTCAGAATGCTATAATCCAGCGTAGGTTATATCACCAAGAGGATAAATGAGGGCAACCATAAAAATATATTGATGAAAATTTCTCCGATACTCAGTTTATGTTTGTCAGCCAAAGTTGAATATATTTTATTGACATCCATTTTGCGGATTAGGAATAAAGGCAAGCGTGTGATATTTTACAAGCTCCTATTTTATTTTAAGTCTAAGCAGAGCTGCTTTGTTATGTGGGAGATGCTATCAGAAAGGAAATTACATACTAGCGGAACTAAATTTCCTCACAATTAAATTATTGTATAATGGCAGGAATAAAAGTATTAGTGTCAATTCATAAAGGTTATAACTTCTAATCATAAGTGTATTTGACATCTAAGGCCTCATCTTAGTAGAATCTACTAAATTATCCAAGTAAATTAGTGCGTCTGACAATAAATTCTTTATCCAGATAATCCAATCTCTTCTCCTTTGAGAACTTTAATTCTTTATTTACTCTATTCAGTGAATACTGAGCAATTTAGACTTCATATGTTTGTAGAATTTGTCAAATATGTTAGTGTCCGCCAGAGACTAATCCATTGAACCTTCTCCTCTAGATTTTTGGTATTGTATCTATTCAAGTCCCTTATTTTTCTCTAATTACTACTTATGTCTTTCCTATGGCTAGAGTGATGTCTTAATACGAATGAAACTTCTCAATAATATAACTCTCGCTATGGTTGCATTTGTTCTGTTTTGAGGTTGATGGGATTAAATATTAATTCCAAAGCATAAAGTGACCTGGCTTAATTTCTTGCAATAGTTCATAAGTCAATATTCAGCTTGGAAAACTATTAAATTTTGCAAGTAACTAAGTCACCCCATTTCTTAAAGCCATTTGGACTAGCTAAATATTGTTCTAGAACTGATTTCTTTTTCATTTTTTAATAGTAATGAAAATATTACCAAAAAAGTATAATTGATGTACATTAAACACTATTTAATTGTACTGTTTACTACAATAATTTATAATAAGATAATAATTATCCAGCTTTTTCTCGAATCTTCACGAAGTTTAGATTAGAGTTTTCATAATTCTTCAGATAGACACCTTCAGTGAGATATATAACGGATATCTTAGATTCTTTTGAAGGTTTGTGAGTGAACTGATATATTATTTGTATTAATTTCTTAAATACTTTAAGCAAACAGATGTCTTAAATTTCGTTAATGGTGATGAGAATTTTTTTGATAAACACCCTAAATTTTTATAAATTCTAATCAATCAAATTCCAATAAACTATCTCATACATTTTCAAAAAATATTTAAAAGAGATCACAATCATTCAAACCAAAATAACAGGTTATTATTTATAATAATACATATGTAATTAAAGATTTATATATCTTAAATGTTATTCATATTTCATCAAACTGATACGTTCTCTACAATTTTAAATCTGCAATTAATTCCACCTATGCATGGGTATAATTCTTATGATGTATCTATTTCCAACTATAATTAGAGTGTAGATTTTTACAACTGTTGCTTGAGGATAATTGTATTTACTCCATTTAATATATTTCTTTTCAATAGAAACTTCAATTAGCATTATATCATTAGTTTAATACTTAACTACAAAATCCTTATTCTTGTCTTTGCTATGATGGGAACAAGTTTCACCTTTTTCATCTAACAAATAAGTTCATTAATAATTTAAATTTAATACCCATTTCCAGATGAGAAACAATTAATATAATTATTTTTTTGGGGCAAATCTTTCATACTAATTCCAGCTCTTAATGTTTATCCACTCAGTATTTAAAACGCGAACTATATTTTTCCAATCTTTGGGATTGCTTAATCACATAGACAATAACAAGCTTTTCCATCATTAATAATATCTGTAATAACTTTCCCATTCTCGCTTATTTAATAATTAGAATGCTTTTATGTGTTTGAAAACAGCAACGATTTTTAATACTATAAAATCTAAAATATGAAAATGATGATATGTTTATACAATTTCTCGATCAATTTTCTTTTATTTATCTTCTTCTAAGCTATCTTTATTAATTTAACTAAGTTTCATTGAAACTTCTATTAACTTTGATTCTTTTTAACTCAATTATTGGCTAAATTCCTATTTTAATTTATTTTCTGTTAATATTTGGGTTATTACATACATTAATCTTCTAGTTACTTAATCTCCATTTTGTGCAAATTTTTAAGGTGAATATTTTCTTCATGAGCCAAATCGGATTATTTTTTTGCATTTTTATATTCTTTTTCCATTAAGTCTAACTTCCCATTTATCTCTTTCAATTTCTAGTCAAATGCTTGTTACATCTAATTGATTGAATTATTTTCTAGAGTTAAATAATTTAGTACTCTCAAATTCCAAATTTCTACTAGATTCTGTTAATTTTGTCAAATCATTTTCCAATTATTAAATATTACAATACTTTTTCAATTGGTTAGTACTATTATGAAAGGAATTAACATAATCATTCAAAATATTGGAAATATTCAAATATTAAGTATTTACCTATTCTGAATTGTTTTTTTAATCTTATTATTTTATTTAGACATTCTATTAAATCTATTAAATTTTCTAAATATGTTGCTAATAAATTGTTAAAATTTCATCAAATAAATTTAATTGGCTTTCACATTTTTTAGATGATTCAATAAATTCTTAAAATTCCTTTATAAAATTATCTTCGTTTTTTTAGTTTACTTCGTTTTATCTATATGTTTTTATTTATTCTAGTATCCCAGAAAATTTAATGATTAGAGTTTTCTCAACTAAATAATGTTATGATACTCATACTTGAATTGTCCTTGAGAATATCTAATGATTATTAGATGTCTTATAAACCATTTTACTTTAGAGATTCTAAATGAAATTCAATTTCATTTTTGAAATTGGATTCTTTACTCTTTAAATTTGTAATTATTTGGATTTAAGATACATTTTCTTTTTCCTTTTGAATTAACTAAGCTAAATCTCTTAGTAGTTATTCATCATTTAATGTTTAAATAGAAATATTCTTTATTTAATTTGGATTTTTCTCCTTATCGCTTACTAGGAATTACTCTGTAATCAACTTTTCTGTAATATCATTCAATTTCTTATTATGATCCTTTCTCATTTTGGCTATTTGAGTAAATAATTCTGATTTTTTTATTCTGCTTTCTATTTTGTATTTCTCTTATATTTTTTCAGACTCTACGCGATAGTCATTCCATAGCTTATTCACATTTTCAATAGGCTAATATTTAATTTATGGATTCTCAGAAATGCAATGGACACAAACAAATCTATCTTCAATTTTCTTATTTTGTGAATCCATATCAATCATAATAATCTCTTTTTTATGATTACTACAAATTCTATTTAGACTTAGAGTTTTCTAATCATAATAAATAAGTAATACCTAATCATTTTTAATTATTAATAGCGGAATTAATTCAATAGCATTATTTTCCTTAATATCTTTAATAATCCCTTTTGTATTCTTAATTGTGTCTAACATCTAAAAGTATTCAGAATTATTGAAGAGTAATTCTAATTGACTTTGAATGGAATCAATAAAATTATTATCTTCTACTAATTTCTATGATTTCTAACATTCTTGGGAATATAACTAGGATAATTATTTAATATCTTCAAAGTAATTTAATTATTATTCATAATCTTGCAATTCTTATTTCTCTTTCTAAATTGGAAATATGAATTATTATATTTGTTTATATATCTTTTCTAAAGTATCATCTACAGATCTTTTGAAGTCTAAAATTTGATCTAATATATTCTTGTAATAGGTCAGCCTTGCTTAATTTTCTTTAATGTTATTTTCTTATTATTTAGCTTTTGCTTATAAGATTCTCTCCTTTGACTACTCTATAGTTGTCAAGTTATTATTATTTATTTTCTCAACTAAGCATTTACCACAATAGAATTTTATCTGAGCTTTGTCTGACAAGTCTAAATCAACTGCAATCAATTCTAATTGATGAGTTTAGCATATAGTGTCTAATGCACATATTTATGCTTCTTGCTTTTATTTTAAGATGTTCATATTAATTTTAATTTTCAATATCATCCATATCCTTTTTGATTATTTAAAAAATATCTCTAATTCTATCAGGTTTTTAATTCATATATTTAATAATACAATCATTAATTTAAAAAAATACTAAAAAATCAAATATCAAAGCATCAAAAAGAGTTTTGTAAAACTATAAGAGGGTAAATGGATTTAGACTAATAATTTTGCTTATTAATTTAAAATTTTATCTTTTTGACAGAAAGGATATTTCTTTATTATAAAAAGAATATCAGCAGAGAATATGCTCAATGAGTAGCAATTAGGTTAATATTCTTGTTTTATAAAACTTAGAAATACGATAGGACTAGTTTGGAAATCGTTCTTAGAATAATTATTATTGCATGAGATAATTCAAAATCTATAGCAGAAATATACTTAAAAATAAATTGTAAAATATCAATTAATAAAGATTATCAAAATCAGAAGAATCGACAAGTAGTTAGATTTCAGAATTGAAGAATATTTGTTTAATAAATATAAAGCACAAAATCCTTTTAGTCTCATCAAAAAACCATAAAAAAATCATTCTGGAATAGAAGTTTAAAATTAAACGAAAAAAAAAACTGCTGATTACAAAGTAATTAAATTGTTAATGTATATAAACATTTTGTGGCGCTTAGATTGATTCTAAAGGATAAATAAAGCAGGATATTAAAGTTATTAAAAAAATGATGAAACAAAGACTAATATTATTTTTAATATACTAATAACCGTCAAAAACATTAAAACAAAACTAAACAGATGATTAATTAATGAGCATTTCCAGACTGATTAAAATAAATGAAATTATGTTTTAAGCTCTAATGATAATGTAAAAAAATAAGTATCTATTTTCAAATTTTTCTAAAATAACTATAATAATAATATTACACTTATTTTCATTTAATTAATTCTATAGACTAAATTATGTTATATACCTTAAGTGACTTCAAAATTTTTGAATAAGTGTTCGCTTGACTCGTCCCATTTTCAATGATGCTGTTATTTTTGAATGGCATTAATAAAGGCCAAACAATAAGTTGTAACTTTTCCTCTATTTTAGTACATTGTAGTTTTATCCTATTGTGCAAAAACATTATTCAAAAGAATATCTAAATAGTTGGATATCTAGTAATCCATTTAGATTTTTCCCTTCCTCAAGTCTTCGTAGATATTTTTTAATAATCTTAATCCCCTCTTTAAATAAGTTATTCTTATTCAAATCAGAATTGTCGAACTCCTCTTACAAAGTTAATATGATAATTATAGAAGTTATTGTATAAATAATATCTTAAAAATATTGAAGTTCATTCATAAACACTTATAAACCTCTTAATTATAAAACAGTTCTATAGTTATAGAAATGTTTATTAACGAAGGGGAATGAGTAATATTCAAAGGTATTTACATTACTTTTTTAGTTTATAATGTAAACTTCATCAACTAATTTGATAAAATTAGGGAATTTATCTTAAATAAGTCATCTTCCCGAACTCCAGCGTTATTATGGGAAATAGGTTTTCTTATTACATTTGAAAATTCACTTTCCTTCTATCATTTCCTGATTGTTAAAATGACATTATAATCATTCGACACTTTAAGCGAAAGGAAGTTGATGAATTAGAGAAGGAATACGTTAGTTAATTTATCTAATAATTTATCTTTTCGCTTTTCATTTTGATAAGTATGTATCTTGATGGTTGAGCTAGTTATTTCAAAAGAATATTAATCATATTATCTATTTTTTATTTTAAGGCCTACAACAGATGGTTGATTAAGATGAATAATTTCAGCAAAAATGAATTTAACTGATAATCGATTGTGTTATTATTTTTCACTTTTCTTTTTTAGAATAAATTACTTTATTCAGTTTAATTATTCTTGAGGAATAAACTTTATTTACAAAGTGACTAGAGTAAAGTTTGCATAAATAATAGCACCATTTTTTTTTTCAATTTTTTCAAATAATTTAATCTCAGATGATTAAATTTAATCTTAATTTATTCGCTTATTTGATAATTTAAATTAATATACTTAAATATCAAGTTTTGAAAAACTTCTAAATTATCTTATTTTAATTTAGAAACGATACTCAACAAAAATTATTCAAACAAATTTACTTGACAAATTTATTTATAGATTAATATGCCTCTAAAATTCTTCAATAATTTGTGGTTTCTTAAGCATATTCATTTGGTTTAATTGATCCTATACTCTGCCTTATGTAGAAACAAATTCTCTATAGCCTTATCTGCTCTGATTATTCCACACTGAATCCAAAGGTAGAATATTCTAAAACTCTATCTCAGTTGATCCAGTCGAAGTCTTGCCATTGTATTGTCTTCTTCAGTCTACGCTTAAGCAGTGAACTCTGTTAGAGGAATTCCTCTTATAAATATAGGTCTTGGAGGATCTGAAAAAAAAACTCATATAAATATACACTACCTAAAATTTAGTGAAGTTTCGGTTTCTAAATTTGAAAAAATTCGGATTTAAATTCAAACAACAAGATTTTTTCGACAAAAATTGAAATTGAAATTTCAAACAAAGTATTTTAATTCAAAGAAAAATACTTTTTAAATTTGATGAAGACTTAAAATTAATGAGTCCTTCACATTATATTTAAATTATTATTTATCAGGTAACTATAAAAATTTAATAGCAAAAATTTTATTTATTCCAAATCTTCACACTTTTTTTCTTATACCACATAGATTTTTTATAAATAACTCTCCAGCCTCATACATTGATTAGTTTATTTTCAATTTTATCTGAACTTTTATTATAAATATATTTTTATCTACAAGATTAAATACTATTCCAGAAACTTCATACATTTAATATGGTTTATTATTTTCTATAGTGAATAACTATATTTTGGATTACCAATAATTAGAATATACTATGTTTAATATGCATTGAGCTTAGAATAATAAATGAATTACATATTATAATTATTTTAGGATCATATTACTTTATTATTATAGGAAATCAAAATCTCAGCATAATATTCTCACAGAAGAAAGGGTCAAGTTGGATTAAATCTCATAAATGGATCACTACTTATAAGTAGATTGAAGGATGATGAAGGAAACCTATTATTTAAATTTTAGAAAATTTTACACAAATCTTTTATGATATTGTTGATTATAAGGATTGGTTTAGATCTGGGTATCCATTGAATGTATTGAACAACGATGGAATTATACTAATTTTATGTTTTTTAGCAAAATAATTTCTTCAGGTTATAACCAGATTTATCAACTCATAGAGGGAAATCCTCACAATAAGATCTTGACATCAATTTACTTGAAAAAGAGTGCACTAAGTCTTTACCATTTTTATTCTACACTATTCATTAAATCATAGCGTTATTGCAAGATAAACATTAGTAATTTTATTATTAGAATAATTAGTTTTATGAAATTAAAGAAGATGATATGTGAGAATTCTATGCACTACTTTTTAGTCTTATAGACTTGCAAAATCTAAGGGTGAATAGAAAAAACAAGAAATAATATTGGAATATTATGGCAAAAAAAGAAATATAAAGCTTTTTTAGAATAAGAGTTTGATATTAAATTGTAAGTATATGAGTAATTAGAGAATTAGAATGTAGCATTCAAAAAGACAAACTGAATACTTAATTGAAAAACCTAATATGATTAGATATGAAGTCATGCATTCAAGAATAAGATAATAAGATTAAAAAATAACCAAAATGATTTGAGGAATTTATTTTATTAATTCTAAGAAAATTTGTGGTTGATGATGATAGGATTAGCTTTAAACATATAATTGATAAATATTAGTGTACTACAAGGAAGAAGTTGAGAGAATTACTTGAATAAATAGCTTTATTAATTTTATATAGTGTAATCAAATTGTAAAAATAGTAATACACATAGTTTTATAAATTGATAAAATAATATAAATATAATTTGTTATAGTATTCTTGCCACCACTTACTTCAGCTAATATTATTTCATATCAATCGACAATAGTAGTTGAATTCTACCTACCAACAATAGAATTATATTTGTTATGACTGTAAAATTTTTGTTATCTAAAACAAAAAATGAGTTAAATGATGGTATCATTATTTGATAATTAACGGAACATTATGTAATAAATTATTTTAATATGAAGACCATCTATAACTTTAAATTGTAAATTAACTAAGTTGAATATATAGCTTTATTAATTGTCACCAATATTTATATAATTTCAATAAGTGAGAAACGGTAGTGTATATAGCTTACCACTTTACTACATTATATCGACTTTTTTATGCTACAACATATATATCATCTATATGGCCTTTAACCTATCTAAATTTATCCGTTTATATTCAATCTGTTAAAGTTATTTAAGATAACAAATTGAAAGCTCATAAATGTTTAATTTATTGAACATTATTTATCATTACTTTATCCTCAACCATTTCGAAGAATTAATTTAATATATCAATATTAATTTTCTTATGAAATTCTTATTAAGCAACCTTATTCAATTATGCCATTTAATCATTAAGATCATTAGCAAAGAGTCTCCCTAATCAAAAAGTCGATTTGATCCATCATAAAGCTAATAAGACAAAGGTTATTATTCCATTTCATGAGATTAAAAGTTTTATGGTAGGCTGTTCACTTGATAAAACTACTGCCTTATAAAGATATAAATGTCTTCGCTACTTCATCGAAAAACAAAATATTACTTCGTTCATCAAATTTAAAGAATTAGTTAATATCTTTGTAATTACTCCCTCTTTTGATTTTGTGCAGAGTATTATAATTTTAGGCCTTATTTTTTTAATTTATTTTTATTTAATTTTTTCTAAAAGCTACAGTTTCTTTAGACGCTTCATCTAATGTTTCCTAATGTATTCTTTATTCTTCGAAATAAAAGTATGTTTAATCTTTAAATATTGAAAAATAAATAAAAACCAGATTTGGTTTTGCATTATTTTTTTAATAAATATTTATTTATTTTATTTTTAAGAACAAGCAAATGAGATAAGGTTAAGAAAAGGATAATTTAAAAGATGCGACTTTTTGAATGAAAGAAAATTTTATTGTAATCAATAAATTATCAATTAAATAATGAAATATCAAGAATTATTGAAATAAATAAAAATGAGAGTTAATTATCATGATTTTCAATAATGTGAAATATTTTATTTATTATGAAAGTTGAATATTAGTACTCATCAGAGAAATTGGCTTTAGGATAAGTTTAATTTACTTTATTAAATATAATTTATAAATCTTTGATAAATTGAAAATTACATCTTCTATATATTTTTTTTTCAAATATATAATTCTTTGGAACTATAAAACAATTTCAAAAATATCATAATCCTTTCTTATTTTACTTTTTCATAATAATTTAAATACAGATATTCTCAAGTTCGAATATTTTGTAATCATTTTGAAAAAGCTTAAACGAATGAATAAAAAAAATTAATACACTTAGCTCAATATTAATGGAATATGATTTTAAATTAACTCAGCTCCTTATCTTATTAAGAATCTCAAAATAAGGATAACAGTAAATAATAGTTTTTTGATTTCTTAATCAAATATTAAATAATATGGATTAATTTCCCAAAATGATTTTTATTTTTACAATCCATCCCAAAGAAAT